CGACACCAAAGAAAAAAAAAGATGCTGTATGCAAGCACAAGCTCCTTTCCCCTACACCATGACTGCGACATGCAACAGGAGCAAGACGCAAANACCACTTGAAAAAAGAGTGGGAAAAACCTCCATCGGAAATATGACCCTATCCCTAACTCTAACCCTAACCCTAACCCTAACCCTAAACCAGGAACAACCCAGGAAAAACGAACACGAACACATCCGACACCAAAGAAAAAAAAAGCTGCTGTATGCAAGCACAAGCTCCTTTCCCCCACACCATGACTGCGACATGCAACAGGAGCAAGACGCAAATACAGTAGCAGCGAAAAGGACATGAACGCAAGAAGAGTAAACCCCACTTGAAAAAAAGCTCCACCGGAAATATGGTACAAACCAGGAACCCAGGAAAAACGAACACGATTACGAACACATCCGACACCAAAGAAAAAAAAGCTGCTGCACGCAAGCACAAGCTCCTGGTCCCCACGCCATGACTGCGACATGCAGCAGGGGCAAGACGCAAACACACTAGCAACGAAAAGAACATGAACGCAAGCAAGCAAGCTTGAACTTTTGTTGCACAAAAAGGGCCTTCCATACTAAGAACGTGTACGAGGGGGAGGTAGGTGGAGACCACCCCCCGGTCACGAAGTATTTTCTTTCTAGTGGTGCCTTGACCACCAGTCAGCCACAAGACCGTTCGCCGANCCTGGTCCCCACGCCATGACTGCGACATGCAGCAGGGGCAAGACGCAAATACACTAGCAACGAAAAGAACATGAACGCAAAAAGAGTAAACCCCACTTGCAAAAAAAACTCCACCGGAAAAAATATGGTACAAACCAGGAATCCAGGAAAAATGAACACGATTACGAAAACATCCGACACCAAAGCAAAAAAAAAACGCTGCATGCAAGCACAAGCTCCTGGTCCCCACACCATGACTGCCACATGCAGCAGGGGCGAGACGCAAATACACTAGCAACGAAATGGACATGAACGCAAGCAAGCAAGCTTGAATTTTTGTTGCACAAAAAGGGCCTTCCATACTAAGAACGTGTACGAGGGGGAGGTAGGTGGAGACCACCCCACGGTCACGAAGTATTTTCTTTCTAGTGGTGCCTTGACCACCAGTCAGCCACAAGACCGTTCGCCGAACCCAACACGCACACCTGCCCGTCAACTACACGCAGTGGGCTTCGGCGGTGGTAGGACCTGCAATATATCAGCAGCACGACAAGAAACTGGAAACAGAATGCTCTTTGCCCCTCCCCCCTACCGAGCCCGACTATAATATTATGTNCGGCGGTGGTAGGACCTGCAATATATCAGCAGCACGACAAGAAACTGGAGACAGAATACTCTTTGCCCCTCCCCCCTACCGAGCCCGACTATAATATTATGTAAATATACGAACGAATGAAAACAAAGGAAATTGTCAATGGGAACAAAAAAATAACACTCCCGGAGTGCATGCGCACGGAGGCGAGCAACGAAGCTGTCTGTCCACAAAAACGCAACCATCGCACGGCAGCTGCGTTACTCAAAGCCGTCGCGGCCATCGGCGTCGTCCTCACCCTCCGCGTGTACCCCTTCACCATCTGCTTCTGACGCGGTGTCGACCCAACTGCTACTAGGTATATTTACATCGCCGCTAGTCTTCACCACCGCGCCCTTCCCCGACCGACGTTTAGTAATTGCTCAGACCACGGCCAAGGAAACGGGGGCGAGTTTAAACTGTTTCAGCAATCGGTCCCTTGTGGCCTGCCGGTCCAAGTCGCTCCTGATTTCGTGAGTCGGGCTCTCAATGTCATCTTCCCAGTTGGCGTAAAACGCGGGGTACGTGGGTGCAACTCTGAGGTAGAGTCCAGCCGTATCCGAGGAAGGGACTTCCTCGCCAGGGTTGCNTTGCTCAGACCACGGCCAAGGAAACGGGGGCGAGTTTAAACTGTTTCAGTTTCAGTAATCGGTCCCTTGTGGCCTGCCGGTCCAAGTCGCTCCTGCTTTCGTGAGTCGGGCTCTCAATGTCATCTTCCCAGATGGCGTAAAACGCGGGGCACGTGGGTGCAACTCTGAGGTAGAGTCCCGCCGTATCCGAGGAAGGGACTTCCTCGCCAGGGTTTCACATGGTTCTGAGCATTCCGGAGTCTGCAATGAGCACGAGCCGAACATATGAGGGGGTTTCAAGGTAGTTGTAAGCGAGGGTGTCTAACGCCTCTTTGGGGGTGTCGTGGATCTCGAGTTTTCCCCAAAGGGGGATGTCGGAGCTGGTGTTCTCTCCGTACTCCTTTCCGCTCTTGGCACAGAGAGCATAAGCTGCCNTCAAGGTAGTTGTAAGCGAGGGTGTCTAACGCCTCTTTGGGGGTGTCGTAGATCTCGAGTTTTCCCCAAAGAGGAATGTCGGAGCTGGTGTTCTCTCCGTACTCCTTTCCGCTCTTGGCACAGAGAGCATAAGGTGCCCCCTCATCTTCGACGTCCTCCTATCTCGAGCAACGTGGTGGTAGGGACGACGGAAGGGCGGAAGGAGGAGACGGCAATTGTGTTATTATATTAGTAACGAATAATCGACAGCAANGAGCAACGTGGTGGTAGGGACGACGGAAGGGCGGAAGGAGGAGACGGCATTTGTGTTATTATAATAGTAACGAATAATCGACAGCAACGCCTTGTGCGCACCACGGTTAGAATCGATACATATTTCGTCACGTGAGCGTCCACGGAGACACCGCGGCACCGACGCTACGACGAAGCAACGTTAAGGCGCCAACGGTCAGTCGCTGTAGTTGCCCACGCAACGTAGACCTCCCAAAGAAATTTGNGAATAATCGACAGCAACGCCTTGTGCGCACCACGGTTAGAATCGATACATATTTCGTCACGTGAGCGTCCACGGAGACACCGCGGCACCGACGCTACGACGAAGCAACGTTAAGGCGCCAACGGTCAGTCGCTGTAGTTGCCCACGCAACGTAGACCTCCCAAAGAAATTTGTGAGACATCGAACATCCCCGAATGCACCATGTGTGGGAGTCAGCAATCTTCTTGGCCACGCTAATCATAGCAGCGGCTGCGTTGGGCTCGAAATCCTCCCCGTCTCCGTCATCTTGTTCTTTCTGCTTTTCGAGAGCTGCCTCGACCAAGCCCGTGACAGCCGAAGGGATCGTACATTCTGGCAGACCGATCGGTAGAGTGCCCGCCTTGACCTCACGGAGTTCCCCTCCCTCCGATTTGTGCTTGTCAATAAAAAAACGGGCCGGACGAAAACGTTTATGATGCGAAGAAGGGAAGAGGCTCGCATGGGTTAAATGCCAAAGTGTGNTCACGTGAGCGTCCACGGAGACACCGCGGCACCGACGCTACGACGAAGCGACGTTAAGGCGCCAACAGTCTGTCGCTGTAGTTGCCCACGTAACGTAGACCTCCCAAAGAAATTGGTGAGACATCGAACATCCCCGAATGCACCATGTGTGGGAGTCAGCAATCTTCTTGGCCACGCTAATCATAGCAGCGGCTGCGTTGGGCTCGAAATCCTCCCCGTCTCCGTCATCTTGTTCTTTCTGCTTTTCGAGAGCTGCCTCGACCAAGCCCGTGACAGCCGAAGGGGTCTTACGTTCTGGCAGACCGATCGGTAGAGTGCCCGCCTTGACCTCACGGAGTTCCCCTCCCTCCGATTTGTGCTTGTCAATAAAAAAACGGGCCGGACGAAAACGTTTATGATGCGAAGAAGGGCAAAGGCTCGCATGGTTTAAACGCCAAAGTGTGTGAATGAATAGAGTAGCATCGTTTGGTTGCATACTCTTTTTATCCGGCACCAGTGGAAGTAGACGCACCGCAGAACATAGTACACAACAAGGGGCTGGCAAAGATGTATCCTGGCAAACGAGCAGNTTCTGGCAGACCGATCGGTAGAGTGCCCGCCTTGACCTCACGGAGTTCCCCTCCCTCCGATTTGTGCTTGTCAATAAAAAAACGGGCCGGACGAAAACGTTTATGATGCGAAGAAGGGCAAAGGCTCGCATGGTTTAAACGCCAAAGTGTGTGAATGAATAGAGTAGCATCGTTTGGTTGCATACTCTTTTTATCCGGCACCAGTGGAAGTAGACGCACCGCAGAACATAGTACACAACAAGGGGCTGGCAAAGATGTATCCTGGCAAACGAGCAGCGGCATGGGCACTCACTGGAATGTGGTGCAGTCTCCAGCTGTGTAGGAAGGCGTCGTGCATGCACTTGGTGGCCCTCTCGGTTCCATCGCCATCCACAACGAATGCCTCAGCCCGGCGCCCGTACCTCANGTCAATAAAAAAACGGGCCGGACGAAAACGTTTATGATGCGAAGAAGGGCAAAGGCTCGCATGGTTTAAACGCCAAAGTGTGTGAATGAATAGAGTAGCATCGTTTGGTTGCATACTCTTTTTATCCGGCACCAGTGGAAGTAGACGCACCGCAGAACATAGTACACAACAAGGGGCTGGCAAAGATGTATCCTGGCAAACGAGCAGCGGCATGGGCACTCACTGGAATGTGGTGCAGTCTCCAGCTGTGTAGGAAGGCGTCGTGCATGCACTTGGTGGCCCTCTCGGTTCCATCGCCATCCACAAAGAATGCCTCAGCCCGGCGCCCGTACCTCAGCGCCGCGTCAACCACCCCGTCCTCGTCAGCGGTCAAGGTCGCCACGGTGTCTCCCTGCTTGGTGAATCTTACCGAGGGCGCAGCAGCAACGACAGAGAGAGTGCGCATTGATCACCTATTTAGGACAAGTTAGGAGCAGGTGTGTTTGCCGGCGCATTACATTCGCCTACGAAGGGAAAACAAATGTGACGCAGCCCAACATCTGTGTCGGAAGTGGTACGCTTGCGTAGGCGTCAAACCTCTCTGCCCTGGAAGTATTGTAGGTCACCCACATCCCAAACGCCCATAAGACCTTGGCAGCATTTGATTTCCCCCGGCCGCGGACAGAGAGCGAACCCAACAAAAAATCACGGAGGACAGTCTCCCACGCGCTTACCGCTGAATCGCCCAGACGGCGACGTTGTCGGAGAGGCGCTTCTTAGCCCCGACGTAAGGGACCCCATTCATCACCGAGGCAGCGGCGGTGTTGGGGGTGTGCCTACCCTCANTTTCTGCTTTTCGAGAGCTGCCTCGACCAAGCCCGTGACAGCCGAAGGGGTCTTACGTTCTGGCAGACCGATCGGTAGAGTGCCCGCCTTGACCTCACGGAGTTCCCCTCCCTCCGATTTGTGCTTGTCAATAAAAAAACGGGCCGGACGAAAACGTTTATGATGCGAAGAAGGGCAAAGGCTCGCATGGTTTAAACGCCAAAGTGTGTGAATGAATAGAGTAGCATCGTTTGGTTGCATACTCTTTTTATCCGGCACCAGTGGAAGTAGACGCACCGCAGAACATAGTACACAACAAGGGGCTGGCAAAGATGTATCCTGGCAAACGAGCAGCGGCATGGGCACTCACTGGAATGTGGTGCAGTCTCCAGCTGTGTAGGAGGGCGTCGTGCATGCACTTGGTGGCCCTCTTGGTTCCATCGCCATCCACAAAGAATGCCTCAGCCCGGCGCCCGTACCTAAGCGCCGCGTCAACCACCCCGTCCTCGTCAGCGGTCAAGGTCGCCACGGTGTCTCCCTGCTTGGTGAATCTTACCGAGGGCGCAGCAGCAACGACAGAGAGAGTGCGCATTGATCACCTATTTAGGACAAGTTAGGAGCAGGTGTGTTTGCCGGCGCATTACATTCGCCTACGAAGGGAAAACAAATGTGACGCAGCCCAACATCTGTGTCGGAAGTGGTACGCTTGCGTAGGCGTCAAAACTCTCTGCCCTGGAAGTACTGTAGGTCACCCACATCCCAAACGCCGATAAGACCTTGGCAGCATTTGATTTCCCCCGGCCGCGGACAGAGAGCGAACCCAACAAAAAATCACGGAGGACAGTCTCCCACGCGCTTACCGCTGAATCGCCCAGACGGCGACGTTGTCGGAGAGGCGCTTCTTAGCCCCGACGTAAGGGACCCCATTCATCACCGAGGCAGCGGCGGTGTTGGGGGTGTGCCTACCCTCATCGGTACGCTGGCAGCCATCGAACTTTTGCGGTATCACCTTATCGTTGTACGTGAAGTCGTCGCCCTGTCTGTGTGCGATGAGCAAGTAATCGACACCGGTCGTAAGATGCAGAGCTTTCTTCGGAGACACCTGGCCACCTCCCCTGGTACCGTATTCCACGACCAAGCCATGTTGTTCGAGAGTGAGTTTCATCTCCACCTGCCTCATGGAGTCTGAACGATTGACGACAAGCGAAGACAGATCGAACGAAGGACACGAAAGGAAAATAATGAGGGAGATGACCCACATGCTTCGTTACGGTCCGCCTTCTGCCCTGGGGTGTTGTGACGAACGAAGGAGATATCCACAACTTCGAAAAAAAATACTCGCCGCCGCGACAGGCGACAATGTCACCCGCCACTTAGTACGTACCAACACGGCAAGCTAGCACGGACTCGCTGCCGAACAAGCTATGCATGACATATGGCACGAAGCATATCGTTCACCCACCGGCTATTGTCGTGGCGTGGTCGTAGTAGGGCTGAGGAACGAGAGCAACGACGGTGCCCTTCCGGTCCAGCTGGTCGCAAGCGGCGTAGAAGATCTTGAACAGGCACTCTCTCCACACCCTCGGTTCCGCGACTTTGGAGTCGATGGCAGAGGGTGCAATAAAGAGCAACATCACCTTCCGCTTCGTCTTGAGCGAGGCGAGGTCATCCAAACGGTAGTCCTCCCTCAGCGGACTCAGCCCGTGTACGTGGGTCCACTCGTCCCTGTAATCAGCCGATGGTTGACAACAAGAGAGATTGGAGGGCCGTTGTGACTACAACGCCAAACACCCCAACGAGGGACATACTTTAGAGGCAGGGTTGCGATGTATCCGGAAAAACTATTACGATTAGGATAGAGTGGACAGCCCTCACGAGGGCGGTGTTTCCGACGGCACAGGGACACATGATCCCGCCATCAGTAATAAGACTTCCNATTAGGATAGAGTGGACAGCCCTCACGAGGGCGGTGTTTCCGACGGCACCGTACACATGATTCCGCTCCTAACAACAAGGACAGCCCGCAACAAACTGTACCGCGCCGCACTATGTGTTCCCCACCGGCACACGAGCATGAGGTTGTCGCCGTCCTTTGCGGGCGATGACGGGAGTTCCGGGGTGGGCATGCTGTCGGTCGTCTTGGAGCGAGCGATCCCACGGCGCCTCTTGCTCGGGTTGTTGCCGTCAGGCGTAGGCTCGCCGCCTTTGCCGGAGGGGGTGGACGGACTGCTCGGGGCATCGCGCTTCGCAGTCTCAGGGTTGACCACCTTCTCGCTCGCGCTCAGTCGGCAATCCTTGCATGGCCGTAGTGTCACTCCTTCGCCTTCTGGGGCCGTCGTGTTCCAGCAACCTCCCGTGTGGCGAACGTGGCACTTGTCGCACTCATAGCTGCGTTGAGACAGAAAAAAAAGCACGTGCGGAGGTAGCAAGAAATAATCAGAACCGAGCGAGACCATCCACAACATACACGTTATTTTCTTCCTCAGCTCCTACCATGGCCCCTCCGGTGAAGGGCGCTTGTGGGAAAGAAACTGAGGGGCAGGGTTGCGCAGAACACCATCAGTCGTGTTCACTAACAACGCAACAGTTCGGCTTGCACTTCGAAGTAGGTATTCTCACCGTGAAGCAGGAGGTGCAGTTCACGGGGTGCACGCCATAGTTGCAGAAGGCGTGCCTTGCAAACCCGGTGGGGGTGACCCACCGCCTTCGTTGCTGTTGCTGCTGCTGCTCGTTGTCGGTCGGTTGTGCTGCAGCATGAGCTGGTTCACCTTGCTCATGACGGACTGGTGTTTCCGATGGAACTCCATGAGTTTGGTCCGCTTTTTCGGATCGTTGTTGATGAGTTCACATCACACACCAAGAGCAGACAAAAAGAACGGAGTCGCGGAAGCAGAGACACGGAGGAACAAATCGAGTGGCCAACGCGCGAGAAGCACGGGCGATCGCCGATGATTATGAAGTGAAAAAGCGTATTGGGAAGATAAGTGTGGTATGCATGCATGCATGCCGCTCAGGTGTGGTTGCGGGGTNGCTCATGACGGACTGGTGTTTCCGATGGAACTCCATGAGTTTGGTCCGCATTTTCGGATCGTTGTTGATGAGTTTCACATCACACACCGAGAGCAGACAAAAAGAACGGAGTCGCGCAAGCAGAGACACGGAGGAACAAATCGAGTGGCCAACGCGCGAGAGCACGGGCGATCGCCGATGATTATGAAGTGAAAAAGCGTATTGGGAAGATATGTGTGGTATGCATGCATGCATGCCGCTCAGGTGTGGTTGCGGGGTGAAACCCAAAAAGAAATATATGCTGTACATGCTACCATCTAGCAGTAACCTCTTGCGCCGCAAACACCGTCGACCGCGAAAACAAACCCCAACAGTCTTTGGGTTTCGCGGCACGGGCGAGGGAGCAAGTTCCTAAACAAGTACAGGCAGTTGGCGGCCTCACTTGTCTCATCGAGTCGACAGGCTCCGAAAGGAGCACCTTCTTGTCCTCGGAGTCGAGCTCTCTGCTGTGGTGCGGTAGCTCATCCTCGGTTCTCGTGACGCGCTGAGCGACTCGTTGAAGGTGCGGCTTGAAGTGGTTGACGTAGTGCCCAGTCTTCACGTATGTCCATTCTTTCACTTGCCTGTCGCCATGCGAAGAGGCAGAGGCAATGCCAACGTACGTGGTGAGGCGTTGTGCATGCTGCGGGGACGAAACACAAAAGAAGGAAAGGACGGCATCCGATCCGCGACTGAAAAACACACACACAGACACAAACACAGAAACGTGTTCGTGTTTACCACCGCACTGACTCTAACGTATTTTAATCAGTCAGGCCTTTGGCGCGGTAGATGCTAATAAACAAGACACACAAACACATATGCCAACTAAGGCACGGCCATCGCGACCAGCATTCAATTTGGATAATCTTTTTGCGACAAACATTTCTTTATTTACGTGTACGAGTAAATAGTAGCATGTTTCTTCACAGGACTCATAATTTCAGCTTAGCCGACCACTCTTCTCGTGGCACGATGAATCGCAACGCCTCCATCCATTTTATCGTCTGCTGGGCCTGCTCCAACACCAGCTGGGTGTCCTGCTTCACGTTTTTGCGCCTTTCCTTAGGCAGACAGATGCACACACGCACACGCGGAAGGCGGTCAACCTCGCTCAGCATTATTATCACTCCTGTCATCGTGCTAACTCCACGGACGGACACAAGGGACTGCGTCAAAAGCGTCGCGCTTCTTGTGGTCGACATCGATCGTTGCCTCCGTGAACACACACACACACACGCGCAGAATCCTGCCCGTCCGCCGTATACAATTTCCCCATCGCAGACGCTGTACTCGCCTTCGCCCCCGTCCCCCCGTTGCGAAAACGGCCCGCTTCCTGCGGGGGTGGCATTTTTGTATATATTATATATATCTGCTTGGTTGGGGCAAAACTCACGACGTACCGTACGACAGTCACCGAACAATGATTGAACCGACTGTTGGTGACTATCTTACCGCAAGTAAATCTCCATGACGAGCGCTTGCTGTTCCGGCTTGCTCCGCAGATCAGCCACCTCTTTCTGCTCCAGCCATTTCTTGGAAATTCGTTTGAAGTTTTTGTCCTTGTCCTCGACTCCCTTCACCGACATGTCACGTAAAGTTTCCAGCGCCGCGGTTGAAGTGTTGGAGACGACGTTGATCCATGAACTCACTGCCCCCTTCTGTGACGGGTTGCCACCCACCTGTCCGATTGCAAACATAGAAGTAGCGGACGACACGGAAATCATGAAGGCATCGACGTGACGTCTACAAGCTACATTTTCATGAGTGCTTGCATGGGTGTATCTATTATGGCTTCGCCCTAGATCACCGTCGCATCGCGTACGCCGTGCCCGGATTTAAAGCAATTCACACGCCCGCACGCGAGTAATGACCTTCTATTCGTGCAAAGGACTATTGAAAGAGCGCTACACACGCAGTTTACGTCGACAATAATGGACGACATGGACGACGTAGCCGCGTTCTGGCAGCACCATGCTGAGCGTTTCTGTCCACAGGGCAACCCGCTCAACGTTTGGGAAGAATTACTGCTCATAGCAACACAAACGCCTGAGCGTTTCCGCGAAGCTTTGCAAGCAGCCGCAGTCGCTGTTGGTGCCCGGTACTGCAACCACGATACTCCGCCGGGTCCGCTCCCTGATATCAGCAAACTGCCGGAGAGGCAGGCCGCCGCACAGCAACACGCTGGATTATGCGGAAAGTACCACGCGGAACACATCGCCAACATCGACGTCACCATGGTAGAAGAGAGGGCAGCAGGAGCTGAGATCACAACGAAAAGAATGAGGAATCAGGTGTGTGTGTATTGGACTGCTGTATTGTGGGGTATGCACTGCTGTGTATGTGTGCCAGGAAATGTGTACGAGGCCAGAGTGGTGGTGGTGGGTGTGCCACACGAACGATATCTATCTGTCTGTGGCCTGCTGACACTTTAGGCCGGAAAGAGAGGCACGTTGTGTTGTTGTGCTGAATACTTCATTCACATATACGACCTACAGCTGTTGACACAACTTCGACACCGCGAGATAATCGGTGTTTTTAGCCTTTGACATGGTTGGTGTCCTGCTGCTGTCAGCAGGCAAAGAAGCTTGTGATGAAAGCTTAATTGTGCGGGAAGTACGCCGACGGGCGTGTTGGCGGATCAGTTACATGTGCATACATAGTTCTGGCGGCGGGCATGTTTCGTCTGGGTCGACATGTTCACAGCCTGTCATCAAACGCGCTACAGCAGTAGCAAAATTGCTGGTGCTTGTTCTACTAAATATTAGTCGGACAACATCAAACACCTCGCGGCGTGACCTGATCTTCCGAGGGACGAATTCTCGTAGTCGAGAATCTATGTGGACAGGCATGAACAGCACCACCTACCATGTTGTCGCGTTCACACCGATGCGCTTGACGCGTGCAGGCCTGCTACGACGCCGGGATGGCGCTCAACGCGCGAGGCCGTGGGGTTCAGCTGAGGAGGCAGGAGTGCTTCACCCAGGCCTGCCGCGCGGTCTGGCCTGACGACCAGCCGCTGCCCGCAGCTGTACTTGCCGCTCTTTCGATGTAGTGAGTGACGCACGTGCCATCGGCTACGCACGCGGGGCAAGGTAGCTATGTTGTCTGTTTTGATGAAGCTGAGACCGGCGGGCGAATGTGCTGGCTCGATTTCCCAATGGGCGAACGCGCTAGGGTAGCTGCAGCATTTTCGACATCAACCGAATATCAGCCAGGTCTCAAACATAGACGGCGTACGTGTGTTTTGACGGGGCGGGCGTTGGTGTGTCCCTGTGTATGCTGGAGGTTGTTCACGTGCTGCTGCTAATGGTGAAGGGTTGGGTCAACATTCCGTAACACCTTCGTTGTGCAAAGAAAAGAGGAACACGAGTTCGTCACGGTTGTTGTCGGTTGCGCGGAGCAGGGCGGACTTGCACTTCGGGTGTCAAAAATAAATAAACATAAATAATTTAATTAAAAGAAGTTTGGCAAGAAAGACATTCGGAAACGTGGTTCCATGTGTCTTGGTTCTTTTGCGAGAGTTTCTTTCGTCTGTCCTTCAGGAATATCTTGGAGGTTCACGGGGATTCCGACAGGTGCACGAGACCATGTGCGTTTAATTCGTTTGGCATTCGAATTAAGCTTAATTATCCCACCTCACATCAACACAAGAAAAACGGGCACGAATATTCTGTCCTGGTAATTGTATGCAGAGCTACTCACACAGCCCGAACGTGACACCCCTCAAATTTTCAAAACACACCGAAAAGCGGGGGGGAGGGGGGTACAGGCAACTTACCGTCATTTTCCTTCTAAACGCGAACGAACGCCGAGCAGTGTGCCTGGCACAACCCGGGCTACCCTGGCACAACCATCACACAACGGCCCCCAAGAACAATGCGCAACACAAGTGCGAATCACAGGTGCACTTCAATCAGCAGTCTCAACTGAACCCCTCTGCCATTCGAATCCTTTTCTGTTGCGGCCCTTAGACACACCATCTCAGTACCTTCGCCGCCTGCTCGTGAGACTCCGGGCTCTTCCAGCATGCTTCGCACATCAAAACCCCAGACTTTTCCCCTCGTGTGCAAAATTGCTTGCACGAGCACCCTTAAGTCGACCTCGTCTTGCAAGTAGGGTTCAAGCACAGGCGTCCACTCTTGAGTGTGACGCTACCCCACACGGGGTCGGCCGGCTTGTTGTTCGAGGCCGGACGCCTCCCACCCTTGTTGGGCCTCGCGACGTTACACTTCGCCATAAGGAGCGTTGCCATCTGTTCATTCCACACAGCCCGCTCTACCTTCGACAGTGTCGCCAACTCCGTCGACGCAAGTTCCAACCCTTCCAACTCACCCCCTGGTGCAATGGGCTTCTTGGCCTCTACCTCTCTGATCAAAAGTTCTACCCACTTGCGAAAGATCAGAAACGCGTTGGTCAGCGCCTGCTCCAACTTTGCGTCATAAACACGGCGCCAGAAGTTCGTGCAGGACTTGTGGTCGTGCGTGTGAGACCCGTTCTGTTGGTCGGCCAAATCCACCCCCAGCATCTTCAGAACGTAATCCATACGCATCCAAGGCTGCTGCAAATCCAGAGGTTCCCCGTTGCGGCCCTTCGCTCTCAGTCTGCACAACAGAAGACGCGCAGGGTAAAGTTGCGAGGGGGCTGCGTGTGAAAAGAGGGACGAACGGGCTTTGGCTGGCGAGCAAAAGGGGTACATGGATGTGGGGCACAGGCTTGAGCACAAGGACGACCACCGTCAACGGAGGTAGCACGACATAGTATCCGACTCCGACTGCGAATTCCCCTCAAACGCAGCCCGTTCCCCCCGACCCCCGACCCCCCGCGGATGCACTCGTGCTCGTGCGTCCAGACAAGACCAGCGTAGACAACATGCTAACCAGAAAAACGTCAAGAAGAACACTAGTCAGACTCACGATAGAGTCAAAGGCTAAGTGGTCGATTACNCGAGCCATCGATCTTCTGCCTCAACACGCCGCACTTCCCCAACAGAACGTGAAGCACGTGGCGAGTAGTCCGGCCGAGCGGGCAGTCCATCTAAGGGCGAAGCTTGGGGTCGCCTTTCATGCCGCCATCCACGCTGCTGGTTAAGCAGTAGCCCGTGATATCGCACGCCGCTAGTAGCTTCATGCCTGGCACACATCAAGGAAAAAACGGACGAACGTCGAAGGGACCAGCTGTGGTAAGACTAGTGTTGGAACCAGCAGCTGTTGACACCAAGGCGTATGAATGATTTTCCGGAGTCTGCGATCTGTGATGTACAGAAGAAGAAATGGCGTTGTGGAAGAAGCGGGAAAACGCCGCACAAGGTCGTGGATAAGTGCCACCACCCAACTCGACGGCCCCCCTCAACCCCTACCTCTCTCTACTTTTGACAAGAAAAACATCGGATTGTTCACGTGTACCACGGGCAAACCCTAACTCTCGGAGACCCTTTTCGTGAGACAAGCTTCAAATGCGTGCGCATGCTCACCGTGCTTGATGGGCTTCGCCGGGCAGTAGAAAGAAACTTTGCTCGAGTACCTCGAAACAGTCTTGATCATTTGCTCGTCGCTTCGTCGCCCATGCAGTGTTGAGGATCTCTTCTAGCTCCCTGCCAGACAGGGCACAGCACCAGAAACACAGCACTTTCAGGGGTGGGCCGTTACCGGCAGGAACACGCTCGTCATTTATCATTTCTATCTACTATACCAGGACGACTACAAGACAAAATTAAGTGTCGGGTGATGTATTCGACGGAAGAAACCTCTGCTCACAGAGCGTGCATGTGCCAAACCATACTGCCAGCAAACCAAAAACATACCATGCGGCCCGCACATGAAAAAGCGGCGCCGCAGACGGGGGAGAATCTTCGACTTACCGGGAGGCTTTGAGACCCTTCGACACACGTCTGTCCCGCCCCCACCATCCCAACTGCAACAAAACCGAAACGACGAGACCCAAATGAAATGGACACCCCAGGTTTTCAACAGGACACACGGATTGAAAACGGAGACACTGATCAGCCACTTGGAGTCGAGTCTGCATTCTCTTCGCCATCGGTTAGCAGTCGCTCTGGAGCGCTGGGGTAGGAGTAGTTAGGGTTAGGGTTAGGGTTAGGGTTAGGGTTAGGGTTAGGGTTAGGG